GCAATGATGATACATAGGAATGCCGATGCACTCCTCTTTTGTCCTCGTCCTCATCGTCTGTTGGCTCTCTTCTCCTCATGTTCATGTCATCTCCTCCCTCCTCCTTTTCTCCTCCCGTGCCCTCCCTCATTCCCCGCTGTCTCCTCGCTTCTCGCTTCTTGCTCGTCCTCATCCTCCTCACACCTCTCCCTGATCCCTCTTCCTCCCCCTCCCTCCTCCCTCCTGCCTCATCATCACCCCTCGTCCATCCTCTGTTCTCCCTCTCGCCGCTCTGTCTCTCCTACCCTTCTCCCCCTCCTCTTCCTCTTCCTCCTCCTCAACACCCTCCTAACACACCGTGGGTACCTGCGAATTCCGGCGAACTCTTCTTCCTCCTGTTTCTTTGCCCCTCCCTTCCTTCATCCTTCTTCCCTTCCGCCGCAGACCTGCATTGGAGGGAGGAAAGGGGGAGTGGGAGGGAGGAGAAAGGTGATAAGTATGATGAAGTGAGATCGTGGGATGATTGAGGGGGACGATGGGGACGGCAGATGAGGGATGATGGTGATGATGATGGTGATGATGATGATGATGATGATGATGATGATGATGATGATGAGTGGTGGTGATGGTGATGGTGATGGTGATGATGGTGGTGGTGATAATAGTGGCGATGGTGATGGTGATGGTGGTGCTGGTATTGGTGATGGTGATGATGATTCGGATGATGATGATGATGATGATGATGATGATGATGATGATGATGGTGATGGTGATGATGATGATGATGATGATGATGATTCGGATGATGATGACGATGATGATGATGGTGATGATGATGATGAGGATGGTGATGGTGATTGTGATGGTGAGGGTGATGGTGATGGTGATGGTTACGATGATGATGATGATGATGATGATGATGATGATGATGATGATAGTCATGACGATGATGATGATGATGATGACGATGATGATGATGATGATGATGATGATGATGATGCTGGTGGTAGTTGCAGCAGTGATGATAATGATGACGATGATGGTGGTGGTGGCAATGTCGCGGCTGCTGATGATGACGATGATGATGCTGATGAGGATGGTTATGATTGATGATGTTGACGGTGCGTATGCTGAAGATGACGACGATGATGCCGATGCTGATGATTCGGATGATGATGATGATGGTGACGATGGTGGTGATGATGGTGATGATGGACCATGGTGATGATGATGATGCTGCTGCTGATGATGCTGATGGCGATGATGATGGTGCTGATGATGGTGGTGATGATCATCATCATGATGGGCATGGTGCCCATCATCATGGGCATGATGCTAATGATGATGATGGTGATGATGGTGATGATGATGAAGATGGTGATGGTGATGGTGATGATGATGATGATGATGACCATGGTGATGATGATAAGGCTGATCATGATGATGATGCTGATGCTGATGCTGATGCTGGTGATGTAGCTTCTGCTTCTGACGATGATGCTGATGATGATGCTGATGACGATGATGTTAATGATGATGTTGTTGATGATAATGCTGATGATGATGCTGATGATGACGATGATAATGCTGTTGTTGTTGATAATGAGGATGATGCTGCTGATGATGATGCTAATGGTGATGATGATGACCAATGATGACGATGACGATGACGATGACGATGACGATGACGATGATGATGATGATGATGATGATGATGACGATGATGATGATGATGCTGATGCTGATGCTGATGCTGATGCTGATGCTGATGCTGATGCTGATGCTGCTGATGATGATGATAGTGGTGGTGGTGGGGCTGCTGCTGATGATGATGATGATGATGATGATGATGATGATGATGAGGATGAGGATGACGACGATGACGTGGAGGAGGAGGAGGAGGAGGAGGAGGAGGAGGAGGAGGAGGAGGAGGAGAGGCCACGCAGACACCCCCATGGGGCGCGAAGACAACGCCGTGCCGTTCCAGAGAGAGACAGAGAGAGAGAGAGAGAGAGCGAGCGAGAGAGAGAGAGAGAGAGAGAGACCGGACGTTGATGAGGAGAAGGAGGGAGCGGTATCGGGAATATGGCAAGAGAAGACGGCAGAAAGCGAGGAGAAGGAGGAATCGAGTGAGGAGGAAGGGAGTTGGAGGAAGACGAGGAGGACAATGAGGAGGAGGAGGAGGAGGAGGAGGAGGATGATGAGAAGGAGCAAGACGCCCCCTTCTCCCGATCCTCCCCTTTCTCTTCTATCTTTCTCGTCTTCCTCCTCCTCTTTCTTCTCTATCTTTCTCGTTTTCCTCCTCTTCCTCCCCTATCTTTCTCGTTTTCCTCCTCCTCTTTCTCCTCTATCTTTCTCGTCTCCCTTCTCATTCCCATTATCACGCCCGTCCGCCCCCCCCCATCCTCCTCGTTGCCATTCTCACGCCGTTCTTACGCCTCCCAATCCTCCCGTCTCCCCGGGCAACTTCGGGACAACGCTGGCCCCCATCACATCTCTTATCGAAGGGCGCCGGCTACCGCCGACGATCCTCGTGTCCCGCCTTCCCCCCCACCCCCGAGGGCGCGACGGCTACGACCCAGGCGACGACCGCCACCGCGACGGCGGCAGAAGTGACGGCGAGCACCGCGACGGCGACCACCGCGACCGCGACGACCGCGACGTCGACGGCGCCCCCCGGTGGCCCGCGAGGACCAGCCGCTTCTCGGTGGCCTTCCGGGTGTTCGTGGAGGCGACGCGTGCGTAGTCGGATCGTCCTCCTCGTCCTCCTACTGCTCCCGCCCGTCCTCGCCCTTCCCCTCCTCGTCCTCCTCCTCCTCCTCCTGCTCTTACTCCTTCTCCTGCTCCTCCTCCTCCTCCCCCTCCTCCTCCTCCTCTTCCTCAGCCTCCGTCTAGCCCTCCTTCTCCTCTTCCTCCTCCACCTCCTGTCTCCATTCTCCATCCCCTCTCAGGGAGGGAGGAGGAGGGGGAGGGCGATGATGGCGATGCCGGCTATGACGGCGATGATGACGATGATGTTGACGAAGATGAGGATGACGATGCCATTGGTGATGACGATGGTGATGATGGTTGTGGTGGTGATGATGACGGTAGTGGAGATGATGATGGGGAGGAGAAGGATGAGGAGGACGGCGCGGGTCGTGATGATGAGGATGCGGATGAGGATGCGGACGTTGATGTTGATGACAATGTGTATGTTGGCGCTGATGTTGACGCTGATGCAGATGCTGATGCTGATGCTGCTGTTGATGATGGTGATGCGTCTGATGGTGATGTTGATGACGATGCTGGTGATGATTTTGCTGCTGCTGCGGCGGCTGCTGCTGACGATGGTGATGATGAAGACGATGTTGATGGGCCGGCTGGTAACGACGTTGATGATGAAGTTGATGATGTTGTTGTTGATGATGACAATGTTGATGGTGATGATGATGATGATGGTGGTGATGATGATGATGATTGTAATGATGATGATGATGATGATGATGATGATGGTGGTGATGGTGATGGTGATGGTGATGGTGATGGTGATGGTGATGATGATGTTGATTATGATGCTAATGAGGATGGGGATGGGGATGAGGATGATGATACTGATTATTGCGATGATGACGATGATGATGATGCTGATGCTGATGCTGATGATGATGATGATGATGATGATGATGATGATGATGGGGGTAATGGTGTTGGCGGTGATGATGATGATGATGATGATGATGATGATGATGATGATGCTGGTGATGACGACGACGATCATGATGATGTGGATGTTGATGCTGAATTCTGACGCAGATGCTGCTGATGATGACAATGATGATGATGGCGATGATGATTGCTAGTAGTAGTGCTATGTTGATCATTGTAATGCTGATGATAATGAATACGATGATTATGATGGTGATGGTGATGGTGATGCTCGTGATGCTGATGATGCTGGCTGTACTGATGATGCTGATGATGATGACGATGCTGATGATGATAGTGCTGCTGATGATGCCGGCGATGATGATGATGCTGGTGCTGATGCTGATGATGCTGATGATCATGATGATCATGATGATCATGATGGTCATGATGGTCATGATGTTGCTGGTGGTGATGATGACGCAGATGATTGTGATGATGATGCTGATGATGATGATGCTGCTGCTGATGATGATGGTAATGATGATGATGATGATGATGATGATGATGATGACGATGGTGATGATGATGATGATGATGATGATGATGATGATGATGATGATGATGATGATGATGATGATGATGATGGGAATGATGATTGTGATTATTATGCTGCTGAGGAGGATGGCGGTGGTGATGCTGATGACGATGATGGTGGGCATGGGGATGGGGTTATGGTGGTGACGGTGATTTGGGTAATGATGTTGGTGATGGTGATGATGACGGTGATAGGGGATGTTGAGGAGGAGGAGGAGGAGGAGGGGGAGGAGGAGGAGGAGGCGGAGGAGGAGGAGGCGGAGGAGGAGGAGGACGGGGAGCAGGAGGAGGAGGAGGAGGAGGGATTGAAAGTGGAGTCAGAGGTGAAGGGAGTCGCCAACGTGAAAGTGAGGGGGAAGAAGAGAAGGAGGCGGAGGAGGAGGAGGAGGAGGAGGAGGAGGAGGAGGAGGAGGAGGAGGGAGTATGGAGGAGGAGGGGGAGGTGTGGACAAGGATGGGGAGGAGGAGGAGGAGGAGGGCTAAGAACGGTTTAGGCTTAACCGGTACCATAACCAATTCTAGACGCTCAGCGTAATAAGTGATCGTTTTCTGATTCATCGTTCTGCCGATCGGCGCGGGCCCTCGCATCCCCCCTCCCCCCCATGGAGTAGACCTTGGCTGCTTTGGCGCCTGTTTCAAGCAGGTGGGATCTCCCCTCCCTAGGACGCACTGTTGCAAACAGTCGCATGAAGCAGAGGTCTGGTTCCAGACCCCCCCCCTATCCCCCCCCTTTCCGCCCACTGTCGAAACGCCGAATAAGAAAACGTTAAATAACCCCACCAGCCCATCCCGAAACGATGCACAGGCGAGCTGCCCGAGGAGCATGCGTGAAATAAGTGGGGGGGAAGCCTTCATACTCCAAGAGGGGGAGGATGGAGGAGGGGGCGGAGGAGGAGGAGGAGGAGGAGGAGGTGGAGGAGGAGGAGGGGGAGGAGGAGGAGGCGAGGAGGAGGAGGCGGAGGAGGTGGATGTCGTGGAGGTCGTGGAGGAGGAGGAGGAGGAGGAGGAGGAGGAGGAGGAGGAGGAGGAGGAGGAGGAGGAGGGGGGGGGAGGGGGAGGGGGAGGGGGAGGGGGAAGGGGAGGGGGAGGGAGAGGGGAGGGAGGGAGGGAGGGAGGGAGGCGGAGGAGGAGGAGGAGGAGGGAGGAGGAGGAGGAGGAGGAGGAATAGGCGAATGAGGAGGAGCAGGAGGAGGAGGAGGGAGGAGGAGGGGAAGGGGAGGGGGAGGGGGGAGGGGAGGGGAGGGAGGGAGGGAGGGAGGGAGGGAGGAGGAGGAGGAGGAGGAGGAGGAGGAGGGGAGGGGAGGAGGAGGAGGAATAGGCGGATGAGGAGGAGGAGGAGGAGGAGGAGGAGGAGGAGGAGGAGGAGGAGGAGGATGGCGAGCAGAGAGGCAAGCCATTTTTTGGATGCTTCTCGGAGTCTCTTCGGATGTCTCTTGACATCTCCTTGGAGTCCTCTTGGGGCGTATTGGGGGTCTCCTGGCGGTCCTGTGGGCGTCCTGGCGCGTCCTGGGTGCCTCGGAGGAGCCTCCGTGGGCCTCCTGGGGATCTCTTGTGCCTCAGGGGGCCTCTCGAAGGCCTCTGGGGGCCTCCCGGGCGCCTCTGGGAGCCCTCGTTGGGTACTCTTGGGAGCCTTGGGGACCATCTTGGAGGCCTCTGGGGGCCTCTTGACCATCTGGGGACCTCTGGGAGCCTTGGGGACCATCTTGCGTCGTGGGGGCCTGTTGAAGGCCTCTGGGGGCCTCCCGGGCGCCTATGGGAGCCCTCTTTGGGTACTCTTGGGAGCCTTGGGGACCGTCTTGCAGGAGTTCGGTCGAAGAAGGATGGGGTCGCACAAACAAAATTAGGACCGCCCCAGGAGGCCCAGATTAGCTCGAAGCCTACGCAAGCCAAATCAAGGATGTATTCTTTCTCGCCGAGAAGGGGGGGGGTGTACTAAATTAGGACCGCCCCAGGAGGCCTCAATTAGCTCGAAGCCTACGTAAGCCAAATCTCGAGGATTTGTGCTTTCTCGCCGGGCCCATCTTGGACGCTCCAATGGGTCGCGATCCCCCCCCCCTGTCTAGGTCTAGGGGAGGGGGTAGGGAGAGGTTTCAAGCTACCCTCCGAGTTAGCAGGCCGTCTAGCTCACTCCCACCCGCCCTCCCAAAACATAAGTAGCACCCGAGTGTCAGCAGATCGCTTAGGGACGCCACACATGCCATGCGCGCCACGGTTTCCAGGTGCACCAGGCACCCTGGAGGCCCAAGCATGTCAGGTGAGGCACATGCTCCACGTGCGCCAGCTGTGCCACGTGCTCCAGCCGCGCCAGGTGCGCCAGCTACGGGGAGCCAATAGGGACTCCAGGTGCCTGAGGCCCTGGCCCCAAGGAGTTCAGGATCGTGAATTCCCCTGAAGCGAAGTGCCGAGCATTCTGTGAGAAGGGCGGCCCTTCCAGGGAGCGCAAAGCACCGGCACCGATGGACAAATTGTGACATTCTGAGGCGTCGTGAAACAGATGAGAGCTCAGAGAAAACATGGCCCTGCGTATGCTCCAGATTTGGAGCCACAGTGTATTGTACTGGCCTCCGGCCAATGCCACCGTTCCCGGGGGCGGCTGGATGTTTGCGCGGGGGCTTTTTGGCGGCAGTTTTGAAGCCTGTTGGGCGCCGTTTTGGGGCCTCTTCGTGCGTCTTGGGGGCCTTATGGGGGTCTCTTGGGGGCTCTGGGGGGCCCCTTGGGGCCTCGAAGGGGTATCTGGAGGCGGAAGGCAGGAATTATCGGTTCGGGCTTCCCCTCTGGGGCCTCTCTTGGCGCTGTCTTGGGGCTTTCTTGGGCCGTTTTGGGCGGCTATTGGGCGGTTTCGGGACTCTTGGGGCGTCTTGGGGCGGTTTGCGGGGTTCTCTGGGACCGTCTTGGGAACTTTTTGGGGCGTCTTGGACGTCGTGAAGGCCGAGAAGTCGAACATGCTAAACATGTAGGTGCCTCCACAGGAATTGAATGGTTTTTTGCCTCTTGGCGCTCTCTTGGGGGTGCTCTTGGATGCCTCTTGGGGCGTCTTGGGCGCTTTTGCGGCCGACTGGGGGCTATTTTGGGCGTCTGGGCCCGATCGTTCAGCGATTGTGTAGGGCCGAAGAGGTCCTGAGTTGTTCATCTTGTCATGTCCGAGGCCCCCTAGGAAAGCGGAGCAAAGCGGAGCACAGGCGCAGCAGGGGGTTCCCCCCCGTTCCCTGGCAGAGTCCCCCCGCCCCCCCCCAGCAGAGCTGAAGCTCAGGGTCTAGGCTGCGGCGTAGGCTTTCTGAACCTCACACGCCGGATCGGCGGATTGTTGTATTGTTGTTTGATAGGGATGGCTGGCCTGCGCGCAGCAAGCAATATGCCAGCACCCCCGTCGTCCCTGTCAACAACCACTGCAACTTAGTCGCGGGGCGCCCGTGCACGCGCCAGATTTGGAGGTAACGTAGATTTTGTAGGTTGATTTTTAACACGGGATGGTGGGAGGGAAGGGGTGTTTACTCATAGTGAACAATGA